TGTTCCCCAAAACAGAAACACCTAGGTAGCTGAGTGCAAGAAGCTGAAGGCCAAAGGCAGCCAAGAGTCTCTCCAGGGAATTGTCAGGGCCAGGAGGAAACATAATCATTAGTGTTTATCAGATACTTACTATGCCAGGCACTAGGCTCAGCGTTGAATTCTCCTAACACCCCAAAAAGGCAGTGCTATGATTAGCCCCATTCTACAGACAAGGAAACTGAGGTACAAAGAGTTAAGTGACTTTCCCCGTAGGTCACACAGCCAGTAAATGTCAGAATTGCCTAGGAACCCAGGCAGCCTGATTCTAGACACTGTGAAATGACACCATGCCCACAGAAAGCAGACTAAGAACTCTTGTTCTGGTCAGGGAGCCGAGAATAAGGCTCAAGGGCAGCTTTCAAAGCCAAAATAAGAGTGAGAAGAAGTAGCAGCCTGTCTGCTTAAGGAGGATTATGAGAAATAGAGAAGGGAAAATATGAAGTATTAATAAATAGCTAAGGAATAGAGAGAAAAGTAGGGGGATTTTATTTGGCATTGATTTTATTAATTTCTGCTAGCTTTATTGTTTCTATAAATAGGCTGTTATTTGATGTTTACATTTACCTGTTTAATAGAGATGCTGCATGGTGAGGACGTCCGCAAATGTGTGTGTGTGTGCTTGTGCATGTGTGTGGGTGGCAGATGCATGCACATGAATGCACGTGTGCCTGTGTGTGGACACACAGGTCCACGAGCATGTGCAACTGGGGGTGAGGGTGCATGCACGTGTCCGCACATGCGAGTATATGGGCATGTGTGCACATGCGTGTGCGAGCATGAGGAGCGGCCACACCCATGAGGAGCCTGACTGCCCAGACCATCACTCGTGTTTTCCCAGTGACAAGCTGGCCTAATCACCAGCAAAACTCCTCATCAGAAATAAACAGCCTCCTGGGAGCCAGCCCTCCACAGCACCTCAGAGAGGCAGCACATGTCTCCTCCTCTGTCTCCCTGTGTGCCCACAGAACCCCTCAGACAGAGGCACTCAGTCCTGGCTGTTGACAAACCCCAGCAGGCAGGGCTGTGGCTGGGGCAGCCCAGTTGGGTGTGCCAGAGGCACAGTTAGCGGCCACTCCTTTCTGGTCCGAGGCTCGTCTTTAACACATTCCTCAGATTTGAAAGAAGAAAAAGCTTGCTTATTCCACCCTCCCTGCAGATGCACAGGGTGTAAATGACCCTCACTCTCAAGCAGAGGCCCAGGCAGCCTCACGGCCCGGCCAGTCAGCTGCATGCCCTCCCCTGGCCACATCCCCGACCCCTCCCTCCAATGGGGTATACAGTTTAACCACACACCCCTGAGCTGGGCTCTTCCAGCTGTGATGGGGGTCACACGCTCAAGTACATTCCACAGATGGTACCCTTCTTGACCCCATGGGAGGGAGGTACCACTTTGGGGATCTTTCTAGAAACCAGGCAAACAGCAGAAAAGCAAGACCTGACAGAAGCTTCTTAGCAAGCAGGGATCTTCCTGGCCTGACTCAAATATCCTCAATAACCAGAGAGCATATTGCAAGTACTAAAAAAAGTAGTTCTGCAGCCTTCCCTCAACTCAAGACAAAAGGCAAAGCCTTCCCAGGAGCAACTTAATGTTAGAGTGAGACTCACCCAGAACACAGGCACCCTAAAGCACAGCCTCTTCACAGATTTGGGGAATCGGAATTATACCCCTCAAGGGAGATCCTTTTCCCATTTGTAAAGTCAGAGAACCCTGGGATCAATTCCAAAGCAATAGTAGCAAGTGTAAGAAATGGAGAGCAGATAGCAGAAATGGAGTCTCCTGAACATTCCGGTTATTTTTTAAGCATCCAGAAGAAAAGTGTCAGTTCCCCAAGCAGGTAAATAGCAGAGTACGAACAGGCCTGTGGAGAGCTAATATGAGACCTGAGAGCTAATGCAGAGGGAAACGGGGGTGGGAGAATTGATTACTGGAGCCAAAGTGAGATGAGTGCTGTTTACAGTGAGTGACTGTCAGAGGGTTGCTGAAGACCAACATCGTTCGGTCGTCCACAGATACCTATTTGGCGTCTGCCCTGGTCCAGGCCATAGGCTGCACATTTTCTGAATGCCAGATGCCAGGAGACTAAGCAAAGTGGTGAATACGGAGGCCCCTCCTCCCTCTGACCATGCCCCTCAACCCTTCTGAGAAAAGCCAGCAGCCCCCCGCCAGGCCTCACTCATTCTCTCAGAGAGCAACGAGGCCCAACATCCTCCTTTTAGAGATGAGGCACAGAGAGTCAGGTCCTACCACAAATGAGGGGCAGAGGCAGGACTAGATCCCAGATCTCCGGAGGGCCAACCCACTGATAGCACCATTTCACATGCAAGGACCAACCCCGAATGGGAGTTTGGAAGCAGAGAGTGCTGCATGGCTCCTGGTGCCCCCTCAAATTGTACACGCTAAGATAGACCCCAAAAGGCACTCCATTGTAAATGGGGAGCCATCCCAGGCTGAAGCTGACACCACTTCTCATCTGTAAAGCAGGATGATACCTCTCAGGCAACACATATTCAGACACCTCCAAACACTTCTTGGGGCCTGTGTGCCAAGTCCTAGACCATCAGGTGTGAAGCTTTCAATGCCTTAAATACTGTGCTAATAAATTCAGTCTTTATCCTATAGAAATGGTATTGGTGGAGGGGTGGGCAGAGACTGTCCAGAGACCCTATGGGGCTACTATAGATCAGATCTGCATTTTAGAAGGACTAGTCCAAAGCCACATATAGATTAGAGGTGAATAGAAAGCTCGCCACCAGGCCACAGGAACAGTTCAGGAGAGAGAGCACAAAGACTAAACTGATGTACAGGTTCCAGAGATTATTTTTATAATCAAAAATATTATCTTCCTTAGATGGACAGTGGTGATGGTTACACAACAATGTGAATGTACTTGACGTCACTGAGTTGCATGCTTAAAAATGGTGAATGGTTCATTCTACGTTTTGTATATTTTACCACAATAAAAAAAAAATTCTCTCGCCCTCCAAGTAACACTGACTCATTTGTCAAAAGTATTAATGGCACAAATTCAAGGACCACCTTGCCCTAGGTCACAAATACTATGAAGAATGAAGATGAGTAACATTTACGGAGGGCATTTGCTCTGTTCAGGCATGATATTAAGTACTTGTATTAGCTCACTTAGCCCTCACAACAACCCTATAAAGTGGTACTGTTACTACACCCATTTACAAGGTGAGAAAACTAGGCATGGAGAACTCATACCCCAAAGCCAAGATCTGAACCTAGGCAGTCTGACTTCAAAGCCTTCATGTTTACCCACTATACAAATTGCCCCTGTCCATTTAGATGTTAAATATCTAAATTAAGAACAAAAAGAATGTTATCTACTGACCACCTAGCCCCACTATTTGATTATCTGGCTTCACAGAAGACAAAAATTCAGATAGCTAACCAAATTTTTTCTCCACTTTCACCCAGATGTTTGGCATCCCATAAATAAGATGATATGTCCGTGAGTGGGAGCCACCTAGAAATTAGAACTCTGTCATCAGTAGAAACACTGTCATAATGCAAGGTTGTCATCTCATAAATTAGCTACCCCAAAATATTTGCCTAACCTCCTAGATTTTTACTTTTGAAGGATCTATTTCTGACAGCTTTTTGTTTAACTCAGTGCAGCTTGGAGCAGTAGTTAACAGACACCCGCTCATTTCTTGTTCTCCATCCAGTATTAACTGAAGTCACATCAGATCTTTTTTTTTTTTTGCATCACAAATAACAAAAACCTTGCATATTTTAACTTCATCTCTGGGATTAAGGTGAATACATAATTTTGGCTAATTACTCGGAATTACAGACTAGCAGCATCTGGTTCGGATATTCTCGAGTAAATTATTGGCATGGTCTCTGCCACTTTTTTAATTTTAACCAAAATGTTCTCAAAAACATGTGTTTTCTGTCCCGTTTGCATGTAATCAATTTTAGAGGGCCTCGGAGTTTTAAACAGGGGTTTCAGAAATGAGCTGCAATACCTGGGCACTACCCCCAGGCCTTGAAGAGCCGCCCTCCTTCCAGCTCTGGGGGAGGCGGCCTTCTGTTCCTGCCTCCAGCTAGCTCTTCAGAAGGAGAGAGGCCTGCAGGTACGGTGTGTACACATTCTGCGCCCTTCATTCTGCTCCCAAATTACATACCTCACTTTCATGTCAAGTCCAATATAGCTTCCTTAGCAGTTTTTTTCCTCCTGATTCCACATCAAGAGAACCCAATTACTTTTATAAATACTTGTTTTAAAAATATCACAGTGGTTTCCTGCTGCTTCAAATTCTGAAGGCCTATGCAGGATTTTAGACTCTTATAAATCCTTCAAACAGTTCATATTTTATCAACAAAGTGTGTTTTGTAAACCCTAAGTATAACTCCTCATCGAGGACATTTTCTTTTTCAACTATTTGACCTTTCAATAGAAACGGCAAAACAAAAGGCATTTTTGCCATTTCAAAAGTCATTTGCAATGCCCTCCCTATGCTCATTAACTGTGTCTCACCCACCAACAAGAGTGGTGTTTTTGGTTTAAGAGAGAAAGCACGAGGTTAGTCAATTCCAAAATATCCCAGCAGAGGTAAAGCCAGGTTATGTACTGGGTCTTCAAAAGAAAATTCCAGGAAGGCTTTGGCTTTTGTTAAAACTGAAAAGCTCCCTGGCACAAGGCAGGGACTTTCAAGTGAATGTGTACCCGGAGTGGCCAGGTCATGTGCTGAAGCAATCACCAGGGATGCAGGAGGGATCAGCGGGCATGGTGGAGGCCGGCCCCCAGGTCCTGAGGAGGGCACTGACCTGCGGTCCACTCAGCTATCTGCATGTACATGGGTACTTCTACGGTTTCCACTTGGAACTACTTGAAGATACCCAAGGGGGCACTTAGGCAAATCCCAGAATGATATTTGACATGCGCAAGAGGCAGCTTACTAAACACCACCACAATCGAGCTGAATCTACTCACCGGAGAGAGTCTGGAAAGCAGGAGCTTCTTGTCCTAGTCTCCTCTGCTGTCTGAACTCGTGTTTTCTGTTCTAGAAATCATGCTGGGCAGGGAGGCAGAGAGGCAGCAAAAAGAAGAACAAGGGGAAAGAAATAGAGGTAAGTATATTTTAGAGCCTTAGGACTCAAATACAAACAGAAATAAGCCAACAATTTGAAGTATGACCTTGGGTTAGATACTCTCAATTCTCTCCTGAAAAATCCAGAGAAGTGTCATCAGCTTAGAGTCACCATCCCCACCACATGCATTCATCCAGCAAATATTTGCTGGATTTGTCATCAGCTTAGAGTCACCATCCCCACCACATGCATTCATCCAGCAAATATTTGCTAACCACCTACTATGTGCCCAGTTCTCCTGGGAGATGAGGAAGATCCAAAGAAGTACAAAATGGGTACCTCTCAAGAATCAAACTGGATGCATAGCCTTAAAGCTGCATAACCCCAGCAGGCACCACAGGAGCAAAGCCAAGCAGGCATCCAGACCATCAGTGCCTAGAGACAGCTGGAAGGCACAGCCTCTGCAGGCCGAGTACTCAGAAAGGGATTGCAGAAAGCAAGGTCTGGGCCAGGCCAGAGGTGTATCAGTTAGAATTCTTTGGAAAAACAGGACCACTAATACATACATACACGTGTATATTTACACACACACACACACACATACACAGATTGATTTCTTGTAAGAAATTGGCTCATGCAACCATGGCAGTTGGCAAGTCTGAACTGTGGGATCAGCCAACAGCCTGGAAACTCTGGTAGGAGTTGATGCTGCAGACTTGAGGCAGAACTTCTCAGTGTTGCTTTTACAGCCTCCAGTTGATTGGATGGGGCCCACCCACATCATCAAGGGTCATCTTTATACTTAAACTCCACTGGTTAGATGTTGACCACATCTACAAAATATCTGGGCAGCAACACTTAGATTAGTGTTTGATTAAACAACTGGGTGCTATGACCCAGCCAAGTTGATACATAAAATTAAGCTTCCAGGAGGCATTCGGATAAGGAGCAAGAAAGGGCAGGCCATGCAGGGGCAGGCTGGGTCCAGGAGACACCAGCAGATCAGAGCGCTAAAGGCAGTGAGCTGGAATTGGCCCCGTGAGGCAGGAACTGCTGCTTGGAACTCGGCCCCGAGAGGACTTTGAACTCTCTGCTGAGAGGTTTGCAGCCCAGGCTCTGGCCCCCGGGAATTGTTAAATGTTTCCCGTGATACCAGGAATACCACAATCTGGCAGAAGCCTGAAGAGAGCCTGGAAAGAACAGACCACTGAGAAATCTGCTGCACTAATCCAGGGACCGACCAGAACCAGGGCTGGCTGACATGAGAGGCAAGCCCCAAGAAGGGCAGGGAGGAGGCAGCCACGCTGAGCACCGTCCAAGAGGGCCAGCGGGAGAGTCGGGAGGAGGAGCCAGTTCAGAGGGCAGGACAAGGAGGCTGGGTCTCCACGTTCTCAAGGCAGGCTGAGACCACTGGGGACACACAGCCACACACAGACCGGAGGTAGGTCAGGACAGAAAGAAAACCACCAAAGCCATGGTAAATGATGGCATTGCCAAGAGAGGGGCTACAAAGAGAAAAGACCACAGAGCCAAGAGCTGAGACCCAGTGAGCGGCTCTGAGGAGCACAAGAACCCCAGGGAACAGAAGTGGAATGTCAGGCAGGTCATCAGCACCTGCCAGCCAGGTCAGAGGGAAGTGAGGGCTGTGGCGAGGACCTAGGTGCAAGGGAAGGCCTTGAACAAATGGGAGCAACACAGTCACCGAGAGGGTGGGAGTGACCCCAGGAATATAGAGGAGCTGGCTGCTCAGGGCGTCTCCCACGTGTGCGGGAGCATACAAGAAAAGTCTACAGCCAAGGGCATGAGAAGATGCGGTCAAGGAGGGGTCTGAGGCGGAGATGCAGCCTAGAGGAGTTTCTCCAGCAGCGTCAGCCCTTCTGGAGTCCTGAGGGGACTAGCAGAGGGCCCCCAAGAGTGCATGGGTGGATTTGAACTGGACTCAAGGGGGAGTCTACTTAACACCTGGACACCTAGTAGGACGGAGGTAAGGAGTGGGGAATTACGGAATGCACAAGGGTAGATAACAGGGATTAAGAAGAGGCAATTGGGTGCTCACTTTAGCAGCACATACACTAAAATTGGAACAACACAGAGAAGATTGCATGGCCCCCGTGCAAGGAGGACAGGCAAATTCATGAAAAAAAAGGAAATTGGGAGAAAGGGGAAGGCACAAGATCATGGGGACAGCAGGAGGACTCAGGGGACAGAGCCTTGTTACCCAAGAGAGTTAAAGGAGGATGGATGGCACATGTGAATCAGATGATACACACACAGCAGGATACAGGAGACCAGGCTCAAATCAAGAAATGGAAAGTAAGTGTGGCTGTGGTTTCAGCAGGTGAGCACTGGCAAACAGTGCTCCAAAGCGCAGAAAGCGTGATGGGGAGGCAGCGCCCCCAGAAGGTGTCACTAGCTCATACTTTACATAGTACTCACTACCCACCAGACACAACTCCAAGGGCTCTACGCACTAACACAGGTAAGTCCCTATCATCACACCCTGAGAGGTGGGGATGACAATTATCACCATTTTACAGATGGGGGAAATAGAGGAACAGAGAGGTCAACAACTTTCCCAAGTCACACAGCCAGCAAATGGCAGAGCTGGAATTCAAACTAGACAGTCAACTTAGGTGTTAGAGGTAACATCACCTGTCTGAAATCATAAAGCAAGGCAATAAATTCAGGACTCAAAGGTAGGCCTTCTGCAAGCATATATATGGTGGCTGATTTGCCCACTAGGAGCAAATAGTCTGGGTCACCCAGTGAGCAACCTGATATAGAAGAAGATAAAGGGGGCTCACCAAGAGCTTATGATGCCCCCTCCAGGTCCTTGACCAGGCACACTGGTTCCCAGCATCTTGGCAAGTCTTGCTCCAAACCAAAGTGATGTCTGCACAGGAGCCCAAGGCCCAGAATCCAAGGGCAGGGGCTGCAGCTTCAGGCATTAGCAGCCTGAACAATGCTGGAGGTGCCTGGGTGAGCTAGGGGGTCACCTGCCAGGAAAGTTCCCCACCAGACTTACGTACCCTGCAAGTGACTCATTCAAGGCACTCGGAGGAGATGTTTCACACCAAGGTCCCTGCCACCATTAAGAGCCAGGACACAACAGATTTGGAATTTGGAGGTTTATTGATGATCTGCTGTGTAATTTGATCTCATAACCTGCTGAAATCCAAACTTAAGCCAAGTCCAAACATCCAACGCAGAGAATAAAAGAGACCGGGTCTTTATCTTAATAAGAATCATATTGCTTTTACATTTGTACCTTGCCTCTTACTCTTAAAATCGTTCATCCTACAGAAGGGTGACCCACTGCAGCCTAAGAACCAAAGGGTTGCTTTTGTGCTTGTCCCACCCAACCAGCATTTCAAGCAGCAATAGACAAAGACACACTTGGCTGCTTCTCAGCCAAAAACATTTTCCTGCTGCAAGGTACTTCAGTCAGCCCTCAGCACCTCTCAGCCCCCTCCCCTCTATTTTCTGGCCCCTCATTCTATCTGCTCCTCTTCTCCCAAGCCAAGCGGCCAGCCTTTGTTCCACAGACCCACTTCCACAAGGGCGCTGCCTCCTCTCCTCCCTTCCCCCTCCCTCAGTCCCTCCTCCCCCTTGTCCTCTGCAGCTGTTCTCTGGACAGTCAGCTAATGGGGGAAGAAGAGCATTTCTCCGCCCAGCAGGAGGAGCCTGGAGCAGAGCAGGAGGCCCAGAGGCCAGGGTTCCCCAAGAAGAGAGCCCATCCCCAGAGCACTTCCTGGCCCTCTCACTGGTCACCCAAGCTGCCTCCTCAGTGCAATCCATGGCAAGTGGCAATCCCTGCCTGCCATGCCCACAGTTCAGGGGATGGGAAAATGCCCAAGATGCAAAAGTACATCTAGGGACCTTGTCCCTTTCCTAAAGGCACCCTCACCTGACACGTAAATCAGAATTCCCCAAAGTGTGATGTGGGTATTATTGGACCCCTCAAGATGATTCAGGGGCAGCAGACGCATGCTTTCTATTCAGGAGATTTTTGTATTTATTTTCACAATTGCCTTCTATTTATGGGAAGGGATAGTGGTTTTCCTGCACAGTCATGTTGTGATGTTTCCTGTTAAAATTAATTATCCAAGTGAAAAATGTAAGCCAGTTTTTAGAAAGCAAGGAATTGCATGGATGGAATGTACACAGAGAAGATTGCATGGCCCCCGTGCAAGGAGGACAGGCAAATTCATGAAAAAAAAGGAAATTGGGAGAAAGGGGAAGGCACAAGATCATGGGGACAGCAGGAGGACTCAGGGGACAGAGCCTTGTTACCCAAGAGAGTTAAAGGAGGATGGATGGCACATGTGAATCAGATGATACACACACAGCAGGATACAGGAGACCAGGCTCAAATCAAGAAATGGAAAGTAAGTGTGGCTGTGGTTTCAGCAGGTGAGCACTGGCAAACAGTGCTCCAAAGCGCAGAAAGCGTGATGGGGAGGCAGCGCCCCCAGAAGGTGTCACTAGCTCATACTTTACATAGTACTCACTACCCACCAGACACAACTCCAAGGGCTCTACGCACTAACACAGGTAAGTCCCTATCATCACACCCTGAGAGGTGGGGATGACAATTATCACCATTTTACAGATGGGGGAAATAGAGGAACAGAGAGGTCAACAACTTTCCCAAGTCACACAGCCAGCAAATGGCAGAGCTGGAATTCAAACTAGACAGTCAACTTAGGTGTTAGAGGTAACATCACCTGTCTGAAATCATAAAGCAAGGCAATAAATTCAGGACTCAAAGGTAGGCCTTCTGCAAGCATATATATGGTGGCTGATTTGCCCACTAGGAGCAAATAGTCTGGGTCACCCAGTGAGCAACCTGATATAGAAGAAGATAAAGGGGGCTCACCAAGAGCTTATGATGCCCCCTCCAGGTCCTTGACCAGGCACACTGGTTCCCAGCATCTTGGCAAGTCTTGCTCCAAACCAAAGTGATGTCTGCACAGGAGCCCAAGGCCCAGAATCCAAGGGCAGGGGCTGCAGCTTCAGGCATTAGCAGCCTGAACAATGCTGGAGGTGCCTGGGTGAGCTAGGGGGTCACCTGCCAGGAAAGTTCCCCACCAGACTTACGTACCCTGCAAGTGACTCATTCAAGGCACTCGGAGGAGATGTTTCACACCAAGGTCCCTGCCACCATTAAGAGCCAGGACACAACAGATTTGGAATTTGGAGGTTTATTGATGATCTGCTGTGTAATTTGATCTCATAACCTGCTGAAATCCAAACTTAAGCCAAGTCCAAACATCCAACGCAGAGAATAAAAGAGACCGGGTCTTTATCTTAATAAGAATCATATTGCTTTTACATTTGTACCTTGCCTCTTACTCTTAAAATCGTTCATCCTACAGAAGGGTGACCCACTGCAGCCTAAGAACCAAAGGGTTGCTTTTGTGCTTGTCCCACCCAACCAGCATTTCAAGCAGCAATAGACAAAGACACACTTGGCTGCTTCTCAGCCAAAAACATTTTCCTGCTGCAAGGTACTTCAGTCAGCCCTCAGCACCTCTCAGCCCCCTCCCCTCTATTTTCTGGCCCCTCATTCTATCTGCTCCTCTTCTCCCAAGCCAAGCGGCCAGCCTTTGTTCCACAGACCCACTTCCACAAGGGCGCTGCCTCCTCTCCTCCCTTCCCCCTCCCTCAGTCCCTCCTCCCCCTTGTCCTCTGCAGCTGTTCTCTGGACAGTCAGCTAATGGGGGAAGAAGAGCATTTCTCCGCCCAGCAGGAGGAGCCTGGAGCAGAGCAGGAGGCCCAGAGGCCAGGGTTCCCCAAGAAGAGAGCCCATCCCCAGAGCACTTCCTGGCCCTCTCACTGGTCACCCAAGCTGCCTCCTCAGTGCAATCCATGGCAAGTGGCAATCCCTGCCTGCCATGCCCACAGTTCAGGGGATGGGAAAATGCCCAAGATGCAAAAGTACATCTAGGGACCTTGTCCCTTTCCTAAAGGCACCCTCACCTGACACGTAAATCAGAATTCCCCAAAGTGTGATGTGGGTATTATTGGACCCCTCAAGATGATTCAGGGGCAGCAGACGCATGCTTTCTATTCAGGAGATTTTTGTATTTATTTTCACAATTGCCTTCTATTTATGGGAAGGGATAGTGGTTTTCCTGCACAGTCATGTTGTGATGTTTCCTGTTAAAATTAATTATCCAAGTGAAAAATGTAAGCCAGTTTTTAGAAAGCAAGGAATTGCATGGATGGAATGTAGGCACAGTAAAAACCAGGTGATAAGCAAAAGATGGATGATTGGTGATTCTAATATAAATTGCATAAATATGGACCTATCCAGGACACCCACTTTGGTTCATGGTTAATCAAGGTCAGAATCACAAGCCAATTCAATTCAATGGACGAATATTTGCTGTGTCCAGGACTATGACAGCCACCCAGAAAAGGAGGCTCCTGAAGCAAACCCTGACTTCAGAACGTTTACAGTTCACATGTTGGAAAGAACAGGTCTTCATTCACAGAAACCATGAGAGAATGGAGCAACATAGCATGTGAGAGAGAGAAGCAGATGCAGAGCAGTTGGGGTCAAGAAAAGGGCACACAGGACTGGCTGGGGTGACTCCAGAGGCAGGGCTTGGGATGGGTATGGGATCCACATCATGCAGAAGAGCCCTGACAGGGTCCTTCCGCTCTGACCTCACACCTGGCTCCCAAAACATCCCTTCAGGACCCTGGTGACCACCTTGTAGCAGAGAAAGCCACCACAGGACTGCGATCCTAAAGGTGTGAGTGACAGATGCATACAAGCAAGCCCTCCCCAGGCCCCTCTGTGACCAGGACAGCCGTCCTGCAAGCCCTCATGGACAGGCTCTTCTCGGGTGGTGCTAGAGGCCTCAGCTCTGTTTGCTGAGGCCTGACTAAGGGTCACTGTCTAGCCAGGTCTCCACCGGCTCTCTGCTTTTCCTGTATGGTTCTCCCAGATCTCAGACTCCTCATTCTCTTCTACATGAGGTGGCTGGGGAGAATGATCTTCCTGCCCATGCAGATGCTGACGCAGGAATCCAGAGAGCAGAGCACACCTGGGTGGGAACAACCGCTGCATTCTCCTCTAAATCTTCACATTTGACACCTTTGGGTGCCTTTTGGTGCCCTGCTTACAGTGAGGTCCTATCTGAGGGGACTGGTCTCCCCAGCCACCCACAGGGTCCCAGGGTGGGCACCAGTCAACAAGTTCTCATCACCAGGCCTGCCTCCCGTACCACAAGGCATCCAAACCAATCAGGTTCTCTCTCTGAGAATTTGGAATTAGGCCCGAAAGACTAACTCACTCTAGGCTGGCCTCCATACAGCAGAGGCCAGCCTAACTGCAGAGTTAGGGGAGACTGTTTTCTGCCATGTGGCCCAGAGATGCAGAGAAAGCAGATCTGCAAAGAACAGGCACATAAGACAAAGGGGCAGGAGCCCTAACAAGCCATGTGCTCATGCAGACCCTAGCCAAGGGTTCTCTCTGCATAGCATCCCTTCTCCAAGATAACTCCACAGGAATCAAGGGTTCCATCATGCTTAACAATAAAATCCAATGCTATGAACTGAAGGTTTGTGTCCCTGAAAATTCAAATGTTAAGGCCTATCAATCCTGACTGTGATGGCATGTGGAGGGAGGATCTTCAGGGGATAATTCAGTTTAGATGAGGTCATGAGGGTGGGGCCCTCATGATGGGATTAACATCCTTTATAAGAAAAGACATCAGAGAGCTTGCTCTCCCTCTCCACCTTGTGAGGACACAGCAAGACAGTGGCTACGTGCAAGCCAGGAAGAGGGCTCCCACCAGGACCCTCCCACGCAGGCACCCAGTATCAGACTTCCCAGCCTCCACAACTGGGAGAAATAAAGGTCCCTTGTTTAAGCTCCCCAGTTGGTGGCACTGTTACAGCTGCCCAAGCTAAGGAAGACATCCCTACTCCTTACCAGGGCTGCCAGCCGCAAATTAATGTCTCTTGCCGCTCTCTGGACCACTCACTAGAACACGACCACATCAACCACTTTTCAAATCAAAAGCCTGTCGGTTGGATGGGCCCTGGTACTTACTTGCTTCTGCCTAGAAGCAGCCTCCTCCAATCTTCACATGGTGAGGTTTTTGGGGTCATTTAGGTTTCTATAGAAATGACCCCTCTCCAGGGAGGCCTTCCCGACCACCTTCACTGACACAGGCCCTTAGACTCTACGTTCTCTCATTACTTTATTTCTGCATGAGACCACAACCTTGCCCATCTTATGCACCACTATATCCCACAAAGCCCAGCGCAGTGCCTGGCAGGTCAAAGGGGCTCATCAGGTATTTACTGAATAACCGACTGAGGCAAAAGAGTCTGGCTTACACTGGTCCCATCAGAGAGCCGAGCTGTTGGTGGTAACAAGGGAAGGGGTGACCCCGGCAGAGGACACCACCCTTAGCTTGGCCTCTGTTCAGCAGATTCCCAGTCAGCGAGCCAGCTCCAGCAAGTCCTCCTGAGGAAACACTGTCAGTGAAGAACTCAGCAAACAAGCCCAAGGCTGGTCAAAAGACGGTCACACTCTCAGCTATGCATGACCAGATTTCGTGCACCATGCGAGTTTTATCTTTGACCGTACTTATGGAAACATTATTCAAGAACATTGTGAACACACAAAAATAAATCTTTAAAAATACCATTTGGATGACAAACACAAACGAATGAAAGATTTCTCTCTACTACAGCAGTCCATTAAGGCAATTTTAAAAAGCAAATGTGGTAAGTAACTGCCCAGAGTATCTTGCAACTGGAAACTTACCCAGTTACTACCCACACAGCTTCCTGCAGATGCACCCACTCCAATCTCACCACCTATGTGGAGCCAACCCCACCCAGGCTGGGCAGTGGGGTGGGGGGGGCTCATCAACTGTTCCCTACCTTCTGAGGGTGTGATGGTACCCAAAGCAACAGAAGGTCACGGTTCCTACTCAGACTCACACGTGGGCCAGAGAGTGGCGCAGCCACGACCCCCGCTTTGATCATCAGGGAGAACAATGGCTATTCAGTGCCTGCTGGGTGCCGTGCAGTGAGGGGCATTCTGACACACTGCTTCATTTAATCCTAGAACCACTGGAAGATGGGAAGCACGCAGTGTTATCCCTAGGCTTATGTGGAGCAGACTCGAGCTCAGAGAGGCTAAGTAGTCTGGTCTCGGTCACACAGCTAACCAGTGCCCAGGCTGAGAAAGAAACCCCATGGTGTCTAGATCCAAAGCCCCTACCCTCCCACCCACCCACCCAGAAGCTGTCCCCCACCTCCACACTCCACAGATGAGCTCTCCTTGCTCTTCATCTGGGCCATCACCCAACCAACCTCCAGGGCCCAACCTCTTCCCCTTCCCTCTCTCTCCTGAACACCCACCGCATGCCAGGCCCACAGTGCGCACCGCTGACTTGGCGATGGTGACACCGTGCTGCTCATGGACCACCCCTCTGGCCAGCCGGCCCTTCCCTCTGCCTTTCCCTGGGGGGCTGTTTTCTCCTCATTTCTATCTCATCCATTATCAGCTCTCCTGCTTTAGTTGTGTGTGTCTAATTTATTCTGTTACCCCATTCTTTTGTTTGTAACCTTGCCAAAAAAAAAAAAAA